CATCAACAATACATTTATCGTGTAATACTCACGTCACAAACTGGTGTTGAAAATGTTCCTTGATGTTGAAGAAGTGTTCCTTCCAGCTGGAGCGCCACTTTTTGCGCCATTTTTGATTCACTTTCGCAATGCCGCAATTCAATCTATCGCAATTCAATCTGTTACGGTGCCCAGCTGATTTAGCGTCATCTCTTCAAGGGCAGGTAAACAGTTTTTGCTCCGGTTGGTCCATCGGGCAGCGCTCCTTCAGCTATTCCGTCTGCTGGGCCGGCGACTTCTCAATAGGTGCTCAATCAAGTACTTCTGTAGCGTAACCACTTTACTGGCTGATATCCCAACGATGTCGTCTTGGTCAGAGCCTCGAAACTGAAGATAAGTGCGACCCAACTTTCAAACACAATTTCCAACTCCAGAGCAAGCAGAAGCATTTATTCTCATTTGATAAATTGGCGTACGAAGATGCGACGTCAAAACATTTCATAGGGCTACCCTTTTGTTTGAAAGGTCTGCTTGCGACTGAATTCCTAGGAGTTAGAGAGATCAACTGTTATTTTTGCGCAATGGATCGTTTTCTTGTTTTTGTGTTACTATTATGTAATTGTTTTGTGCGGATAGAAGGCCAGGTTGCCTCTTTCTATCATAACTTGTTTTACTTCGCAACAAATTTGTTGATCCAGCGTTACCCAGATCTTCAGTACAACTTAAAAAAGGATTTTTGTAGTTTTTTCAAATTTTCACCTGCAGCAAAATAGGGCATTTATTATTGATTTGTAAGTGAATTTGGAAATAAAACAAAAGCAGATTTTTCTGGGTTCCCTATGGAAAGACATGTGCCCAAAAGTAGAATTTAGTTGAGCATTCAGGCTTTTTCAAAGATTACCGGTTAACATACTACCTTATGAGCTGTCACTGATTCATTTCGTGTCATTTCTTCTCAGATTTCAATTTTTACTCCTTCTTTTGCTGTTCTTTCCCCTTTCGCGTATTTCGTTGTGCTTCAGTTCAAATACAAGTTCAATTCACCTCAATTTAAATTTGCAGAACTTGGAGAATTAACTGTAAAATTGACGTGGACGCTGACTACTGGAGAATAAGCCATGCCAACGGAAATGATGGTGAGTGAAATCCATGCTTACACATTGGTGTGTAATGAAGATGGGCGTAATGTGGCATGAGCCAGTCGCCGCGCGGCACGCGGCATGTTCCCGTACTTCAGTGTGAAGCGGGTAATCCGTGAGCCAAGGGAGAGGTGTAGGCAGCTCAGGGGCTCAGGGAAGGTGAGGCTAGTCACTTGACAAGCGTGAAAAGCTGGAATGTTCGAGTTTAAACTGTTTCGTTGGGAGGGCGCGAACGTGCCGCGCGTCGTGGTGGCGATTATCTCCCTCCGAGCCAGATGATTACTTTCGCCAATTTTTAAGCATGTTCTTTGTTTCTGCGGTATCAAAAAGCAAGCATGACATCAATTTTCGAAGTTATCGATAGATGTACTACTGAGTCTGCAATTACGGCACGGGAATCCGGATGCGGTGTGAACAAAGTATTAATGTTTTGGTAGATAGTTGTGGAACTTTTGTTGGAAAAGCGGCTCCATCTTTTTTGATCTCAAAAAGGTGCTAATTTAGTCGTGAGGAGGGAAGGGGCGGCATGTGTTTACGTGCCCTTCAGTGCGGAGCGGGAATCTGAAGGCCAGGGCTGTGGTCAGTTCAGAAAACGAGTGAATTGGCATGGGCGAAATACTGGAATGAGCTTGCGCCTTTTCCCTGAGGAGACGTAAGGGCTGTATGCTATCCTCCCCGAAGGGTTCGGGGGCGAAAACATCCCTTCAAATTTTCTCTGTCTTCCCAACTGCGGTTGCTCTGATAAAAAGGCTTAAAATTGATTTTTATATGGAGGTGAAAGTAAACATGCACTGAAGATGAAGGAACTACATGTTCAAAAAATATATTCAAAAATAAATTTTTGGTCATCTAGCTTGGGGGAAGGATTAGCATATGGGCCATAAGCATACCGCGCGCCACGGTGGCAGTAGCTCTCTCCCCCTCTACTGTGGCATCTTAAAAGCGGTGGTCCACCATAGTCGTCTTTATCGCTTTTCGATAGTATTAATTGGTATGATGTTGGCCCAAGAGGCATGGTAGCAAATCGACAGGCTTCTGGGCCACATAAAAGAAACGATATCGCTGTATGACAGAACTACTTCAAATCACACGATGAATTGGATCTTCGGAGCAAAATTCTTTCGCTGTGTAGCGACGTGCTTGGAGGCAAATGGGCTGATCTCCATCCGGACAACGTCTCAATCAGTCATGTGCGGTAAGATCACTTTCTGCTACAGACTTGTGCTAATCGATGAGATGCATTTCGCTGGACTAGGTTGCGTAGTGCACATCTTCTGGTATAGTTGTATAAAGTTGTTACATTTGTATACATTTTAATTTCAGTGGTGGTCTGACAAATCTCGTCTATTTGGTGAGCCGGCCAAAATTCTCATCATCGGACGATCAGCCGTCTACCGTACTACTGCGAATTCAATCACAAACCGATCACGAAAAACTGCTCAATGAACTTGTCGTGTTCACTTCGTTAGCTGGTGTAAAAAATGACTAGTACTACTGTGTCTAAGAGGTATCCCCGAAAGATAATTGTCATCATTCTGAACTGTGAAAGATCACGTTCGTGTGGATACCGGTTTTGTAGCAGATGTGACTGATCAGTTGGCATTTCATAGGGTTGTATCGACATTTCAGTACTGATTCGCATCCTACGAGCGCTTACGAACTGAACCTTAAAAAATCGTCAGTTCCGTAAAAGTACCAAAATGCAGTACTGACCTAATCTTGTATCCCAATGCCAGCGTCTCCTAAGCAATGGACCAGGCGAAAGGTCTACGCATTGGGTTGCGAGTCTAATGTAATCAAGGTAGGAGAGGTACCACGTGTGCCTGTCAGATTCGCCAGGTGAGCACAGCTCCGGCACCAGATTTTGTCTAGGGCAAACAGAACCACCCTTTTTCTTTCATTTTTCCCACTATTTTCATATTCACTCCTTACACTAATCAAAATTTTATCTTCTCTTCTTCTTCTCCCTAGCGTTAGTCCCGCGCAGTCGCAGGGTCCGCTGTCTTTGTCAGTCGTCGCCACTTCGCTCTGTCTAGGGCATCTCCTGCAGTGGCCGTGATTTCACCTAGGTCCTTCTTGATCACATCCTTCCACCTCTTCTTTGGGGCTCCTCGCGGTCGCTTGCCTTGCACTTCGAAGTCCATCGCATTCCTTATTGGGTGGCCTTGTGGTCTTCTCAGCACATGCCCATACCATCGCAGTCGCTGCTCCCTCACCTTCAGCTGGACAGGGGCAGTCTGCATGACCGCTCTGACATCCTCGTTCCTGACCCTGTCCAGTCGCGTCCAGCCGCAGGCCCATCTCAGCATCCTCATCTCAGCGGAGTGAAGCTGCCTTTCGTGATTCTTGTTCAGGGGCCAGCACTCGCTGCCGTAGAGCATCGCAGGCCTTACCACTGTTCGGTACACCTTCCCTTTGAGCGCTCTGGAGCACCTTCGGTCGCAGAGGATTCCAGTGGACTCCCTCCATTTCATCCATGCCGCGTTGATCCTCCCCTTTACTGCCTGGTCCACACTGCCGTCGGCCGCCAGATCACTCCCAAGGTATCGGAAGTCCTCCACTCTTTCGATGCTTTCACCATGCCGTCCACGATCGGCTCTGCACCTCTTCAGAGCTCAGGAACTTGGTCTTCTTGACATTCAGCCGTAGCCCGCCTTCTGCCAGGACCTTCTGCCATTGCTGCACCTTGGCCTGTAGTTCCTCTCTACTATCCGCTATCAGGGCGATGTCGTCAGCGTAGAGGATGGTCTTTAGGTCCTTCCATGAGCCCCTTCACCAGGACATCTAGTGTCAGGAGGAAGAGGAACGGGCTCAGAGCTGACCCTTGGTGCACCCCAACCGTGATGTCCACTTCCTTCGTTAGGCCGTGTGGGGTGCGTATAGCTGCCTTCGCCCCATCGTACATATCCTTCACCAGCGAGACCAGGTGTTCTGGCACGTTCCGTTCCCTGAGCGCTCTCCATAGTACTGCTCGTGGTAGCCGGTCGAACGCCTTCTCCAGGTCGAGGAAGGCTAGGTAGCAGGGTCGGCGCTTTTCTCGATACTTCTCCATCACTTGCCTTGCGATGAAGATGGCATCCGTTGTAGACCTTTCGGGCATGAACCCGAACTGTTCCTGGGAGATCGGGACCAGCCCGCAGTTTCGAGTCGACCAGTCGCTCGTACAGCTTCATTGTATGAGCAGTCAACTTGATCCCGCGGTAGTTGGAGCAGTCCATCGCGTCACCCTTCTGCTTGAAGATGGGGACGATAGTACTTGTTCTCCAGGCATCTGGCATCCTTCCTTCCGCAGTTATGTTGTTGAGGAATCGTGTGAGCCATCTTATCCCGTACTCACCGAGCGCCTTCCATGCCTCGATTGGCACCCCATCTGGGCCAACCGCCTTCCCAATCTTCATCCTCCCAAGTGCACACCTAACCTCATCCTCAGTCCAGAGTGCGATGGGACCAGCTGTGGCCTCTGCCCGTGAGTTGTTCTCGTGGGGGAACTCCTCGTTCAGAAGTGCACTGTAGTACTCTTCCCACCTCTTGACTTCGGCTGGCTTCCTTAGGATGACACCGTTCTGCTCTTCACGCTCTTCACCACCCTGTCTTGGGTAGCCCGATGCCGGGCTTTGGCCAGTCTGAAGACGAACTTCTCTGCGTTTCTGCTTTCCAACTTCTCGTACAAGGCGTCCATCTCCGTGTTCTTCGCCTTGGCGACGGCGGCCTTAGCGAGCCTCTTGCAACTCTTGTAGGTAGCGAGGTCTTCGGGGCTCCGGGTCTTCTGCCAGCGCTTGTATGCTTCCTTCTTCTGCTTCACGACTCGCTGGACCTCCTCGTTCCAGAACCACGCTGCCTTGTCTCCTCTGAATCCACCTCGCGTCTCGCCCAGTACCTCCTTGGCACATCGCAGGATGGTCTCAGCCGCTGCTCCAAGTCCGCTGTATTGGCCCGTTAGGATCTGGGAGACCAACTTCCATTATCCTTCGTTTGAGGTCATCTCTTCTCCGCTTGGTGCAACTTCCACCACCGGATTCTCCTCTCGGTTCTAACCCTTGTCTTCTTCGGGAGGTCCATGGCAATGTCTGCCAGGAGGGGCCTGTGCTGCGGAGCCAATTCCTCGCCAGGGAGTACCTTGATGTCTTTTCACCGATCTCAGGGATGATCTTCTTACGAGCACATGGTCGATTTCCGTATGTCGTCCCTCCACTGCTGTAGGTACCTTCTGAGTCTCCCTTTTCGCGAAGAACGTGCTGCAGATTGCCAGATCGTGGGCCGTAGCCAGGTCCAGGACCCTCTCTCCCTCGGCGTTCCTCACTCCTATCCTCTACCTCCGTGCACCCTTTCCAGGCCTCTTCTGTCACTGCCGACGTGGCCATTCAGATCACCTGCTATGGTCAGGTAATCGCCTTCCGGAATCGTTCTTATGGCTTCGTCCAGGCTCAGGTAGAACTCGTCCTTCTCACTTTCGGGGCATCCGGTCTGCGGTGCGTACACGGAGAGTATTGTCCAGTACCCCTCCTTCGTGTCTATCCTCACAGCCATGATCCGATCGCTGATCCTGTTCACAGCGGAGACATAGTCCTTGAGCGACTCCGCTACCGCTATGGCCACACCGTTCCGCTTGGTGTCTTCTCCATTGTAGTAGAGTTTGACACCTTCCCCGATTTCCCTGGCCTTAGCACCTTTCCATCGCGTCTCCTGAAGGCATAGGACTTGGATATTCCTGCGCGTCATCAGATCAGCAACCTCTCGGGACTTCCCAGTTAGCGATCCTACGTTCAGAGTCCCTATTCGAACTAGCTTCTTTGGCCGAGGCCGTTCACTCCTCGGTAGCCCTCGCATACTGACCACAGAACTCGGGCGGGGGTTCTGCGCGCCACTTCCGGGTGACGTCCTAGCTTTATCACTGATATCTTTTTCGACTTTAGACATGTTTTGTGTGACTGGGGGTTCATCAGCCGGCCTGTCAACCTGGGCCTGACGCTGGTACTAAGAACCAATTTAAATATTTCCCTATTTATGGGCGGAAGTGGTGTAGTGGCAAGTGGCACGCTTACCACGCGAGCGGTCCGGGGATCAAATCCTGGGTCGTGAGTCGCCCGGGCCAACCAAGCCTTCCATCCCTCCGGGGTCGGTTAATTGGTACCAGACTTGTCTGGGAGGATAAAAACACTGACTTGTACATCGGCTGGCCCCGCAAGTCATTGTATAGGCCACATCGCATTCAAACGCCACTACGAATGTACAAATGGAAGTAGAATGCGTGCCGCATCCCAAAAAGGGATTGATCAACGGCAAATGCTTTATCCTTTATCCTACGGTAGGACTGGAAGCAGCACACCTGCCGCATGCAAAGCAAATTGAGCACAGCTCATATTTTTTGCTGCCAAAGGCCTTCGGTGGGGTGGGGGGGGGGGGGAGGTGGAACAGAGAAAGACAAGCGAAATAGAACTTGTGAGGAGCAGGCCCAATCAACTGTTGTGCTGATTCTACAAAAAATCTTCCGAGGTTTTTCTTACCACCGCCCACAATGGTACCAGTAAGGGTCACCCAAAATTCGACCTCTCTCCCCCGCTTGAACACGATCTCTCCACTTCCGTGAAAAAATTCAATCGTCAAAAACTTCAATCTTCTCCCCCACATTCGTCGAACCTAGCGCAGCTGGCTAAAGACCCTAGTGTGAAGTTTATTTGTGCTAGATTCCCATTCCAGCGGAGTCGACATACCTTTTATTGCCATGAGGTCGATAGGCTTGCTGGTTCAAGATTCATCAAGGATAACAGAAATCTGCTTTGTTCATAGGCTCACCCTTGAGTCATCGTAGTGGCCAACTATACATTCAAGCCTTTTTTCAGAGAGTGGTCTCGGGCCAAAACTACTGGGAATCTTTCCTGGAGGACGCTTTGAAGAGTACATTCCTAGTCGACCTGTCGATCATCACGAGGTGACGGATTTCAGGTGAGCCATATGTCTGACTAGCAATTTCGAAATAATAAATATAAATTTGGCCGCCACACCAATACTCGGACGTTTAAACCCAGGGATCGAGCATAACAATCTTCTATAACTGCTTCAAAACATTTTGATCCAATACCCCTTATTCCCTGTTTAGCAAGGTACTCAAGGAATTAGCGTTTTTGATCTAACGCTAGAAGGTTAGAAGGTTAGACACATACTTTGGAATGGGTGATTTCATAAATTATTGCTGAGGTCTGGCCACACTCCGTCACAGCGCTGGAGTGTGGCTGAACAGCCCTCCAATAGCCTTCAACCAATGACATCCTCATATTGGCATCGTCTCTTAGCCACCAGACCCACTTAAAAGGCCAACCCCTGGATTAAACTGGTGGTAGTAGCGCTTCGCAGTGATAGCTTAGCTGCGGAACGACCTGAAAGTGGGAAGGAAAGCAAGAGAAAGTCTTTCGCAGACGCTGAAACTAAGGCCTTAACCTTCAGTAAGTCGGATGTGGTACGATGGCGAGACAGGGCGGTCAAAGAAGACAAAATACGCGAGAGAGCCGCGTCGTTTGAGAAGCACGGTGATGCTCTGCCTGCAGCGCGCCGTAGGATTAGCGCGCTAAACAAGCAATTCTTAGCCTAGGTACGCCGACACTTAAAATTACCATCGCAGTTATCCTTCCTACTAGTTATGCTAATCCATGGGCTTTGCGGAAAGGCAGCTTCGGAATAAAATAGGAATAGTGGAAAAGCGTCCAGCTATGAGTCTAGTGGGAAGTGAAAAAAGCAAAGGAAACCCCGATTACGCCCTGAACATGGACCTCCTCTATTTCAGGCAATCCACCTTGAGATAGAAAGAGAGTGTTGGACGAGTTCCACGAACCTAACTCCAGTTGCTCCAGTGCCACTGACTTTGGAGACGCAATGCACCGCTGCCCAAGGTACCCGTGCTTTGTCAAGCAACATTAACGTGGCAGCTGACATCGACACGGCGGGGCGTTGCCGACAAAGTAGTGGATTGGCGGAGCGGGCAAGCTTCTATTCGACCTTTGCATGCACACTTCGATTCGCAAACCGGGTGCGAACATCAACGCTATGTCCCGTTGTCCACTACCCCAGGGGTGGAGCAGGTGCGGCCTAATCCGCGAGGCGGGCTCAAAACTCCTCTTCACCCCTACTCAAAAATTATTATTATCTGCGGTGATTGGTGTCATGTCGCGACAATCAGAAAACATAAAGCCAGCGTACAGACTTGGTGAGAAGCAAATAAAAGAACTCTGCTCACTTATACAGGATTTGCACCCTATTGGCACGACTCTTGCCACGATTCCACTCCACTGCGGTGCCGGTCTCTAAACGACCGGGTTTGGTGAACATGATGCGGGAATGGTTGGCACTTTTCGAGGAGCAGGGCAATTCACATGTGAAAATGCAAACGACATCCTTCCAGCTGCATCCCAACACGGTGAGTTCTCCAGATGTCCTCTTAAGCAGATCGTGGGTTTCTACGATCTTCTGGAACCAGATTGACCGAGTAGATGGTTTCTCTATTGACCGTTCCGCCGGTTCCTTTACTTATTTTCCATTTTTTCCAGTTTCCTTCCGAGCTTTCCACAAGTGACCTGGCGAGAGAAATCGACACTGTAGAAGAGTTTCTCAGTACGTCATCGTCACCAGTTGTCTTTTGCCACAACGACCTCACTGTGAGCTGATGTCTGTGGCTTGAACATTTATAAAAACGGATTTTGAACAAGAAGAAAGATTGAATGAACTACGAAACCGGCATTGGATTGGAAAGATTGTAGCATCAAGGGCTATCCGGTCACATTTGTCATGCAGAGCGTTTATCCAAATAATTGGCGAACTCACACGTATGGCTCCCAAAAATGTGCTTCCTTGACAATGCCATGAGCTATACTTGATTTCTAGTACTTGACAAGTTATTTGGATGTTACATTTTTATTCGGCTAACGATTTGTCAAACAAAACGATAGTCGAGTTTTTCGGATCAAGAAACAAAGAAAGCGAATGTGCAATCTAAACTTACGGTTCACGAAAGCTGTATAACAATTTTAACGAGACCTAAATATCGAGCAGTAAGGTGAGGTAGCGTGATCGCATTCTGTTGCAGTCGTCTAACGTCCTTTGTGCAATTCAAAAAGGGAGTCGTATTTGAGATTTGGTGGTGGTGGTACATATGGTAGAAGATGTAGTGGCTTGTCGCCTTTGACGTTTTTTTTTCAAAAATTTCAGAAAAAACTTTCACGATCTCTTCCTTCCCCGTGCTCCTCGCTTTCTAAAGGATTCATTGGGCAGAAGTTAGGAATACGGAACCAAGTCTCAAAATCGAATGCGATAGGAATGAAATAGCAACGGTGATGTTTTTGTGGGGGAAGGAGGTGGTTGGCATCACAAGAGTACGCCTATAAGGTGCTGCTGGAGATGAGGGGTCGCGTCGAGATCCTTTTGAGAGGGGGGGGGGGGGTTCGTGACAGATTTTGAATCGGACGTTGACCTTGGGACGCGTGATCTCAGAAATACTCCAACCCATGCCCATACTTTTCGGAATGGTACCCATTATACCATAGAAACCTTTTCCCTCCCCTAACCTTAAATTGTGAATTAACTGATCACATCTTAGCAGCACACATGTACTATATGATGAGAGAATAGCCAACATCATGCCAAAATGATCACTTCCCAATTCGCAAAAAAACTTATTAGTCTCGACTTGTAGCGCACTTGCCCTGTAAGGGTTCGAGTCCCGTCTGGGGCGAAAATTTTGTTCATAACCCAGACTTCCACAAGGCGATCTGCGGCCAAGAGGAGCAGTTAATAATCGAAAACTGTTATCAGTATTCAAAAATTGATTAAAAGTGTTAATTGGAGAATAATTTAGCCAGTCAGTCATGGAAACGGACTTTATAAGGCATGGTAAAAGTAGGTTGTAAAATAAATAAACAGAATATTCGGCAGAGAAGAATGGATAGGGAGGGAGGGGTTGCGGTGGCGGGGGGGAGGGAATTTTGAAGGCTAGCACTGGAGAATTTTTTGGGAAGTGCCTTGGCATTAGTACCATGATAGTCAGCCAATTTTGATGTCATTTTTTGCTAATAACGTATCCATTTTTCTAAATAATCCACCTACGTTGCCTCACTAATTTTTTTTTACCCTGATCTCACATTTTTACAACTTTCTTTTACAAATCATAACTTCTATCTATTCCGTCAGTTATCTTCTCGCTGAAGAGCCTTAAACGGTTGAGAAAATTCCCTAGTTCCTCTGCGTAAAGAACGAAGGGAATCATCTTTTTTATTTGTGGCGTATCTAATGAATTTGTAGTCTTAGTTCTTTGAATTACTGATAGGTTAATAGCTCAAACAAGCTTTTTTTAAACAATTTTTTATCATTGGAAGCGAACAAGGCAGGCGTTCACTTTTGACTATTTTCAGTCTGGAAATCTGTTGATCAGCACGAGCAAGTCTTCTGACCCCACAACGGCCGAGGAGATCTCGTTAAACGGGAACGACAAGGAGAGCCTTTCTCTAAACTTGGTCGATTTTGAGTTCAGCGCCTATAACTATAGGTAGGTCCCTACTGCAACTATATCAACTGTTATCTCGAGTTGATTGGCTCATATTCAGAGGCTTCGACTTGGCCAATTATTTCTGTGCGGCCGCTATTGAACACAATCTTCACGATTATCCACGTTATCGAATTGATCTAAACAAACTCCTAAATCGATCGATGAAGGTGGAATTCTGCAAGGAGTATGTACGGGAAGCTAAAAAGGTGTTGTTGCATGACCATTTGACAAAAAAAACATAATGGTATTGATATTGATATAATCATTGATCTGATTTTTATTTTCGTTCTTGCTGAATCAACCATGATCATCTATCTCACCTCAAAGGAGGATTCCACGATAAGGACAAAGAGGGGCTTACCTAATTGACAGATAGACGGACCTCCTAAAGGCGAACCGGCGCGCAATTCGCAGCGAAATATATGCCCCAGCGATCTAGCATGGCTCCCCACGCGGCCCAATGTCGCGACATTGGCTCGGTATGCCCCCCGTCGTCTCGTG